GACAATTCTCGAACGATTGTTCTGATCAAAGGATACGTGTCATTTCGGTGTGTATCGCATAAACCATTAAAATCGTCAAAATCTAGCGTCCACACAAATGCGCCACCAAAAAGTTGTCGTTTCAAATAAGCCATCTGAAAAGTTTCTGTCATTTAATTGAGTGATAGTTGATATTCGAAAACTACCTGAATATGGTCATCATGAGATTGTTGCCTTTAACGTAAAGGGAATTCCCATTATGCAATGAATTCAGCCCAGGAAGAACATTGGAATCTGCTGTAAACTTCTGTGGTTTCTTTTGTCACAATCTAATTCATTGCTATTCATGCGCATTCTTGGTCCGCATTAGCCTTCTGCAGTTATAGTGCATGTCACGTAGCTATGTTGACATTTGAAAGCAGCTCCGAGGAGCGGACATGAGGTAATACTTGGCTAAAGGAAAGCATATGAGTATTAATGGGTAGAGGTCAAAAATGTTGTCCGGCGATCAATTGCAGTGAATCGAAACAGACCTTTCGTTGGATCGATTCTACATCATCATAAGTGAACCACTGATTTTCATAAACCAGATAGGGAACTGCGCCTTCCGCATCCCAGCATCTCTTGGCTCCTTTGGTGAGCATTTCACATATCTGAATAAGCCAGAAGATCACACATGCAACGATGCCAATAAAACAACACTTGCAATTATTACTGCACAGACGGATCTGTTCTCCTCATCCGGCATTATCTCACCGATACGATTTCAATTGATTAATTAACAACTCGATGTGAAACATCCAAAGATTATCAAATTCCGCTATGCATTTACGACCGCAATCAACTGAGTAGTTGATTGGTGAGCAAGAATGCCAAGCAGTTTGATTTTAGTGCAGATGGGGAAAATAGTAAAACTATGCAAACTTCATAGTATGCGGCAACACCGGATTCCACAACAAACTTGGTCGCATTCGATGGGGAAGCAGCATACAATCCGATATGACATGATGAGGGCTTCGTTGAATTCAGTGTCCACCCTCTGCCGTACGTTGGTATACCGATAATGATTTTCCGTCGAGGCATACCCTTTAGTGCCCAGTAATTCGCTGCCCAGTCCTATCATGAACTTGAGCATTCATCAATAGCGATCATTGAATCAGCATGTGATACACTTTAAAAAATGACCTCACAACTGTTCATTTCAGCTAATTGCAACTGTTTCAGATTTGATACAAAAAACGACATGAATATATTGTTACAAATGACATTTTTTGCGCATTCTGGGTATTTCAT